CGGCGCTTAGGCGGGAACCGCATTGCACAAACCATCACTGTTCCATCCGTGCAATTGATGGAATTTGTTAAGACGAATGTCCGCGGCGTTATGGCGATAGCCACATTTTGCACCCCCCCTCCATGTGCAAAGATCTTGGGATTTTCAAGCTTCGGGGGCGTCAGCGCCCAGCCCGCCTTATCGACACGTCTGGTGGTCACGCGATGAGGAGTCATGTATCTACAAGGTCCAGGGTTTTGGGACATCCGGGAGGTGGGAAAGGAATGATGAGGATTGAGGAGGGGGAGGAGGAGGAGGAGGAGGAGGAGGAGGAGGAGCAGAAAGAGGAGAGGAGGAGGAAGAGGAGGAGGAAGGAGCAGGAGGAGGGGCAGATGGAGGAGGAAGGAGGAGGAGGAGGAGGAGGAGGAGGAGGAGGAGGAGCAGCACCAGGTCGTGGGGAACGCCGTGGAGAAGAAGTTTACCACCAAGCTGGCGGGCGTCCGGCTGGAGGTCCCCCGGAAGGACTGGGAGGAATTCAAGGCCTGGCTTGACCACCGCGGCCTGGGTCGAGGAGGGGGAAGGGGTGGCTTGGGGATTTTGGGTGCAGGAGATCAGGAGAAGAAAACCAGAAGAGCGAGGAAGGAGGATAAGCAGGGATGAGGCGGAGGACGAGAGAGGAGGAGGAGGAGGAGGAGGAGGGAGAAGAGGGGGAAGAGGAGGGAAGGAGGGCGGAGGGAAGAAGGAGGGGGGGTGGAGGGGGGGGGAGTAGGAGAACGACGAGGAGCAGGTGGAGATGGGAGGTCGGATGAGGGGGAGATGAAGAGGGGAGGGAAGGGGAGAGAGTGATCAGGGCAGAGGATGGGAGGGATGAAGAGGACGTCCAGGACGGGGTTAAAGGAGGAGGAGCGGCAGCAGCACCAGGCCCTCGGCGGGTGGACGACGGCGGGCGGACTGTTGTTGGGAGGACTTGCCCGGGCCGGGGACGGCCCCCTGAGATCCGCTGGCTGCGGCAGGAGAGGACTGGGGGGACCTCCCCGTGCTGCTCATCTTCCCTCCCCCCCTGCAGCAGCCCACAGCGAACCCAGGGTACCGAACGGCCGAGCCTAGGAGAGCCGCGTGATTCTCATAAGCCGGCGCAAGCTCAAGGATCCTGGAAAGAAAAAGGGGAGGAAAGGAAGGAAACGTGAGCCAAGACGTGACGGGAGAAAGAGATGGATGGCCCTCTCAACCTCTGAGCCTGGACCGGCTGCTTCCTGAGGGGGGTATGGTGGGGAGGGAGCTCGTGGCCGCTGCTGTCTGCAGTCGCCGTTCCTGCACCCCATACTTGCTGGGAGCACGCAGGGACCCCAACACCTCTCCAAAGCAATGCCACGGCCCGGCTGCCGAGCTGCACACTCATGGCTGCAGCTGCTTCTCCATTCATATGTTATTTGCCCGCATCTTACTTGTAGCAGCTGTTTCTACGATTTACGTAAGAGCATCTGTGCGGAGGTCTATGCTGGGGGTCTTGATGCCCACGATATTCTGGTCCACCCGCCGATTAGGTGGACTGGCGCAGAGGCTCTCCGCAGAGCTACACGTCGTCACTTTCGCAACTGTTCGGCCCGCTGCTCGAAGGTGCCGCTCCACGTTGCTGCAGGAGCTCGACGCCTTCTGGGGGAGAGTCCTCGACGGACCTGGAGGGCCAGTGTGCGGCACATCCTCTGTTTGCCCGCTGCCCCACGCTTGACAGACAGCTGGGTGTGCCAAGGCGTTGCCAGCTCTGTTCCGGCAGCAAGCAGCTCCTGCTCCCGCTGCCGCATTCCTCCTGCTCGTCGGGGAGGAGGAAGGAGGAATTCGGGAGCGAGGGGCAGGAGGAGGAGGGGGATGGAGGACGAGGGGGAGAGCGGATCAGCAGGAAAGGAGGAGGATTTGGGGGAGGGATCGGGCGGTGGGGGAGCCCGGAGGATGAGGCGGTAGACGAGGACGACGAGGACGCGCCCGCAGGCGCACCGCGTGCGCTTATGGAGGGCGGGCAAAAATTGGGCGGGGGCCTCAGAAGGCTTGCCCGATGCTCGCAGGGCGCTGTAGTGCATCCTTGCGCAGCCGATCCGATTCGATGTCGACTTCGTGCCGATGCGGCCGACGCACATTCCGAGCCAGTCTGATTTTCCGATCCGATGCTGGCTGATCTTGCACTTTTGCCCCCCTCCTCTTCGGCGACGGTCTTTCCAGCGCGATTTCATGGCCGACGGCCTAGCGAGTGACCATCCTGGCGGCCACGTTGCAGCGACCAGCGGGGCGGAAACCGAGAGCGACAGGCCAGGTCAGCCCGGAGCAGGCTTGGCAGCGCGTTGAGTGGACGGGGCACGAGCCCGGAGCACGCAGCACCAGACACGAGCGGGTTGGGAGCGCGCGGCCGCCCCGGCAGCGGCCGCCGGCGACGTCCAAGAGGTGCGCTGCGCCCGCGCGGACAGCAGACACCGAAGGCTGTGCACGACCACCTGCGACCTCTTGTCGTCACCGTCGCCGCTGTCGAGGATTGGGGGGATCGCGGTTTGTGCACCTCTCTGGTCTTGTCATCGCTCGGGCGTGTGCATTTTTTTCGGCGAGGGCCATCGAGCAGCATCGTTGCTCCATCTTGCGAGAAAAAAAACGCGCGCACGAGATCGAACAATGCACGACTACCCCCCCCCCGATTTCGGAGGGGGAGGGTGAGGTTCGCGTGTGGCCCCCTAGCACGGGGAATGGACGTCCGAGCGATGGCGAGTGGTTGTTCTCGGAACCCCAGGGGCCTCTGGTCAGAGTGGTGTCCCAGGGCCTCCCCGAGCTCTCGGGCGTCGCGAGCCAGACGCTGCAGCAGGATTGCTTGCCAGCTGTCGTGCCGTGCGGCGGCATGGCGTGCGGCCGCGCCGGGAGCCGCAGCGATCGCCACGGCTGGGCGTCTGGCGTCTGGCGTCTGGCGTCGGATGGCCTTCGGCTGGGCACAGGCGCGGCCGCGGCCCTGGTGGCCCCGAAGCTTGCGGGCCCCAAGGCCATCGGAGGCCGTGCCCTCGGCGATTTCTACCCCAGATCCCTCGTGGTATTCCGCATCGCACTCAGCCTTGGCATCATCCTCGTCTTCAACCTCCTTTCCTCCAACATGTTCGTTTCCTCCTCCAGGTGTCCCCCTCCTCCTCTTCCTCCAGGGCGTACCCTCTCGTCATCCTCATGCCCATCATGCTCCTACTCCACATTGTGGACCCCCTCCGGTTTTGTCTCCTCCCTCAGCATCATCCTCCTGCTGGTCTTTCTCTTGCTCAAGTTTCTTCTCTCCTTCCTACCACGATCAATGTTATCGAAGACGCCTACGGCGAATCGCCGCCGCCCCCTGTTTTTCGGAAGAGCCTAGGTGGCCGAACGTGACGGCCAGAGCTCGGCCAAGCTGTCGGACTACGTCTTCCCCGAGCCGTTGTGGACACCCTTCGGAGAACACATGGGGGAGAGAGAAGACGAGGAGGAGGGGGAGGAAACAAGGATGAGAAGCACGAGGCCTCTTGGGAGCCTCTTGGGGTACACTTTGAGCCTCCTGGGAGGTTCCTGGGGGCACCTCGGAGGCTTCTTGGGGCCTTCCTTGAGCCTATTTGGGGCATTTACGAGCTCCTTGGGAGGCCCTTTGACTGTCTGAGGGTGTTCCTGGCTCGTGTGACGCCGTCGGGAACTGTCCTGGGGGCCTGTCTGTACCAAGTTAAAGCCCTCTTGGAACGCTTCAGGGCCGTCTCGGAGGCCACCTAAGCCATCTTAACATGATCTTGCAACCATCTTGAGGGCCTCTTGGGCCGTCAGGGACCACCCTGGTGGCCTCCGGGGCCCTCTTGGAATGTTGGGAGGCCGAGAACGAGAAAGCGCCATACGATAGGTTCATGCGGCGATAACGCGCCGGCGACGCCGGCGAAGGCGTTCAAGGTAGAATTCTGCGACACGGAAGCACCGAGGGACACTGTGACGCCACTGGACTCGACGGAATTCAATCTTGAACGATCGGGGCCGCCATCGGTTCAAGGTTGAGCGATCGACGCGGTGTCACAAACCTCTGCGCGCACCCACGCCGCACGAACCTACCGTAAAGTTCCGAACGCATATAGAACATCATGGAATTCGGATGTGGACCTCTGCGGGCCTCCCTGGAGGTCCTCCTTGAGGCATCATGGGCCGTCTTGGAGGCCTCTTGGGCCGTCTCGGGCGATCTTTAGGCCATCTTAGGGGCATCTCGGCCCGTCTTGGAGTCATCTTGGGGCCATCTTGGGCTTCCTTGGGGCCATCGTATCAGTCTTGGTCGTTTCGGAGGCCCACTTAGGGCCGTCTGGAGCGGGAAGACCGACGGCCTGGTGAGTCTACGGGTCCTCGTGGCGGCGAGTTTTCTGGGTTTTGTCCCTCCTTGAGCGTCCTTCCATGTGGCCGGCGGCTTGGGCCGAAGGCCCCCTTGGGAGTCGTTTTCCAAATTTCTAACGTTTGGCACGCCGTGCACCCCTGTGGCAAGCCACAGGGGTCGGAGGCCTAGAGGTAGACACCAGCACCAAGATCGGCGGCGTGCCTTCACCGAGAGGAGATGCTCCCGATCTCGGTAATGGTGGTAAATCAGGGTCCGGCTTGAATAAGGAACACTTTCTTTTCAGAAGGGGCTCGGTTTCCTTTGGTTTGCATGCGTTCGGCTACCTTTTTGGCGGCGAGCCCCCCCGGTGTTCCTTCGGACTTCCTAGACTTACCTGGAAAAAAAGGGGTTTCGTTCCTTATCTATCGTTCCTTAGGTCAGGCCGAGTCCTGTTTTCGGGCTTTCTCACTGGCCGAGCTATTACCTCCGACGCCAAAATCTGAGATCATCTGTCTACCCCTGTGGAGGCCCCCCCCCCTGTGTTGGTGTGGGTGCCCGTTTCCAGGCCTCCAAAGGGGGCGGCGGACCCTCTGCTCGTTTTCTCCTCATCGCCCTCGGGTGGGCTGGACTTGGTGGATGGTGCATCGCATCGGGGGACTGCGTCCTGAGGCGGGCGCCGACGAGAAGAAGGATGATAAGGACAAGGACAAGAAGGACTGCGCCACCGCGGGCCCCCCCCCCCCACCCCCACGGGTCCAGCCTCCCTCCCCTCTGCCGCCCTCCTCCTTCTGCCGTGCCAGCTCTGCGCCCCAGGTCGGCTGCGGCTCGCTCGCCGTGAAGCGGGGGGGGGGGCTGGAGGGAAACGGGGTCTGAAACGGATGCGAGACCCCGTGGCATTCCCCGGAGACCAGCTCTGCACCTTCGAGGGCCCCCACGCGGGGGGGGGGGAGGGGGCCGAGAGCGGCGCGCCCAGGGCCCCTTTCTCCCCGGACCTGGCGCCCTCGTGCTGCAGGGCCCAGGACCCGTGTCCTGGCGGCCCCGGAGGCGCGGCGAAGGGCCTCCGGGACGAAGACTGTCCAAAAGGCCTCCCGTCACGACGTCTTGCCTTTGCGCACCCGCCTGCGCTCCTGCGCCTCACTTCGCAGCGGCTGCGACCCGCCGTTCGATGGACCGCTCGTGGGGCCCAGCCGCCGCTCGACGTGCGGGGGCCTGGGCCAGCAGAGAACTAACGCACAGACGCAGAGGATCGCCGGCTCCGAGGAAATTGGAAAACATGGGGGAAGCGCAGGGAAAGCCGAACACCTAGAAGATATGGGAGGTGGGGGGAAGCCTGGGGTTTCTACCTGCATGTTTGTGTGCCCCATTAGGCCCCTTCGCTCTAGGCCTCCCAGATGGGGTCGAAGTAGATGGGGTCGGAGGATCGCGCCGCATCGCCGATGCATCGGCGATGTGGCTCGATGTGGAGCCCGATTTTCTCCGCGCTGGCGTCGCCGATACACCGCCGACGCGTCGCCGATGCGTCGGCGATGCCTCGGCAGTGTATCGGCGATGCGGCGCGATCCTCCGACCCCATGTGCTCCGACTCCCTTCAGGAGGCCTCCTACTCACTGGGGCCGCAGCGACCTCGGCTCGGGCCGGCCCGGCCCGGGCAGCATGGACGACCGGCGCGAGCTTCGGGGCAGTTGCGCCCAGCGCGCGCGGCGCGGCGGGCGAGGGGCCCGGCCGTGGCGGCGCGCCGCGGCCTGCGCGGTGGCGCTCGGGCTGCTCGCGGCGCGGCGCTGCGGGGCGGCGCTCGCGGGGCCCGGGCCGTGGCCCCGAGCCCGGACTTGGCATGGAGGGCGCGGGTCTTCCCTCAGATCCAGGCGTTGCAGTTTTTTCTACACCATGCATGAAGTCGGGCCTGTCCCTCTACAGGGGGAATCTCCCCAAATAGTGAAAAATGGTCTGGGGACTATTTTTGTTAGCATTTCTCGACCATTTTGGGGCACTATTGTTATCTTGTCGTCCAAAATCCCCCTGTAGGAGGACAGGCCCGACTTACACCATGCACTGGCGTGGTCGCCCGGCTTCGGGCCCCGGGACCCTCACAGATCGGTCTTAGAAAGATGGGGTCCAGGGTTACGGCTGTGACTGTTCGCGATGTTGCAATGTTGTTTCGCAGCGTCGGATCTCAGGGTTGGAGGGACGTCCTGGAGGTTCGTGGGCCGAGGCTCGAGGTCCGAAGGACTTCTGGTTCTGCCTCCGCTCTGGGTGACTCCTGGAGCGTCCTCGTGGCCACAGCCGGGTCCGCCCCGTGGTGCTGGCGAGGACGCGCCTTGGGACAGGTCCGGGGGTCAAGTGCGAAGGGTCGGGGTAGAGCAAGTGGGTCCCAGAGTGTCTCGCCGATTCTAGGGTGCGTCTACAAACCCTACAGCGGGCCCCTGGGCCGCCGAGAAAGATTCCAGTCCTCGGGACAGCCCAGAGGCATCCAGGGCCCGCGTCCCTCAGGACCCCCTTCCCCCATGGCGATTGACGCTGCTGCCTCGCCTCGCCGCTGCCAGCAGCGAGCTGTTCCAGGCCTACCCGAGCCTTCGGCGCCTCTCGGGCGGCGAGTGGGAGGGGCGGATGCGGTACGCGGGCGGAGAGTCCATGGAGCCTGCACCTTTCGTCCTTAGCGGCACGATGAGCTCGGCGACGCGCTAGAGGGACCCTTCGCCGCAGTGACCTTCACACACGCACGCAAGCCATCACTGGCGCACACTACGTGCAACGGTCGGCTGGCCGTGCACCAACAGGTCCCTCTGGCAGAGGGTCGCTCTTGCGTGTGGCCGATGGGCTGCTCGCTGGATGGCCCGAGGCTTCGCCTCAACAGCACGGTGGTGCTGCCGAGCGGGAAGCGGCGCGAGGTGATCATGAGCGGGCGCGTCCCAGACGAAGGGCGCGGCGCCCTGAGGCTCGAGCCAGAGGGCGGCCCCGAGGCAGGCCCGATCGACATCATACTGTCCGACCAAGGCGGCCTGGACGGCGACGCCCAGGGCACCCTGCTGGTCCGCGAGGTCAGGCGAGACAGCGGCAAGGTGGTGATGGCTACGAGCATGACGTTCCTGGGGGACGACTCGATGGTGCAGATTGGCCACGAGCTCTCCGAGCAGGGCGGGGCCCCGGAAGGAGTTCAGCTGTGGCACATGACGCGCCGCAGAGCAGGCACGTGATCGCACGCGTCCGCTGCAGACCTGAGCTGGCCACCAGCAGCCGACGCGCGGCCAAGGCCGCATCCTCGATACTCGTCGTTTCTGGCTTGATCCGTGCGAGGCGTAACAACGCATTGTGGCTATTTGTGTTGAAACTGTTTGTTGAGTCACCGTCTCTCTCTTTCTCTCTCTCTCTCTCTGCCCCTCTCCTCTCTAGATTATGCTTATATCGTGCTCTGTGTCAGCCAACACAGGGTGCACACGCACGCACGTAGGCGGCCTCGGCGTTTGCGCGGCGCGGCGACGAACACCACCATTTTGGTTCAGGCCATATGTGTTACGACTTGGCTGGGTTTTCCCGGCGTTCGCCCCGTGGCCGCATTGTGACCGCACCGTGTGCTGGCTGGGGTATCTGGGCTTTCGCCCAGTGGGCAGCCGTGACAGGTTCGCGGCAAGCAACCCCGTGCGTTGGCTGAGCGCTCTGGGTTTGTATCTGGTCGTCCGCCGTGGCCGCCGAGTGTCCAAAGTTCAGTGGGCGGCCGTGGAAGCTTTTTCGGGCGTTTGTGGATGCATTCGTAGCTTGGACCGCGTAGCTTCCTTTTCCTGACGAAGATTATATCCCCATGCGGAGGTCGGGTTGACGGTACCCCTGCATGCACAATTCTTGCTCATGTGGCACGATTGTGCGTGTTGCGTGTGAATTTCCAGCATCCCAGCCAATGCGGTGCGCAAGCGTGTATTCAACACATGCGTTTTGTAATCACCCAAAGAATACCATGCGGTCACTCGCGCGCGGCGCTCACGCGCGCATGCCAAAACAATCGCAGACACAGTTACGCGATCTGAACAAGAAATTCCCGAGAATCTCCGAGGGCCCAAGCGTTTCCGCTCGCCGGCAGATCTGCAGTTTTTTCGACAATAGACTCGACCCCAATGTCAAGGCTGGACTTAAAGACCCCGTTCCGCGTACCATCGGTCCATATGTGTTTCGCTCGTTTGCTCATCCTACATCTGAGCTCGAGCCATCCCAGCCAGCACCCTTGTTTCCTACACGTTACTCGCTTTGGTACAACGCATGTGCAAGTATCAGATAGGACCACGCGAGCCACCCGGCCACCCGCGTGCGCACACATCACAGTCTTTCAAAAACCATTGGTCCCCAGATAATGTGAAGCGAAACCATGTGGAAGTCATAGTTGCGTGCGCGATCCCCTCCAATGGGACTATGCGGGCCACGCGCGCGCATAGCGAAATCATCCAACAATCATCGTGTACCCGCCAAGTGTGTCAAACAAAACAAGTGCGGGTCGCACGAGAGCGTCTCCGCGCGTTCTTGTTGCAATTAATGTAAAGCAATGCTCCCTCCAAGTCTGTCAACATGTAGGTGTTCACTCAACCACATGCGACACGCCTGGGCATTCAATGCATCATGCGTTACGCTTCCAGAGCGCGCGTATTTCCTCGCCACCATCATCCGCACCGTCGTTATCATCATTGCCAGCATCAGTTGTGCCACCGCCTACATCACAACCATCACCTTCATCATCCTCATCGTCGACGTCCTCTTCGCAGTCGTCATCCACGTCGTTGTCGTTGCCGTCTCCCTCGTACCCATCTCCGCCACAATCAGCAGCAGCATCATCATCGCAGTCGTCGACGAGGTCACCGTCGCCGTCATCACGGGCTCTTACAGCTCATGGAGTTGCATCGGTCATTGTCGAGCGGGTGGGTGTGATTGTATCTTCGAGTATTTGAGTTGACGATTCCATGTTTCTCACACACGCCTTGCACTACACACGCGCGCATTTGTGCATCTGCACTTGTACTGCACCATTTGTTTGATTGGCCCATCGGTTTCACCACGCGGAGTGTGCATCGGACGTGCAACAACCCAGCGGTGTGGGCCCATTCTGGTAACCTCCCCTCTCCCACACACACACACACTTATAAAGACATGTGTACATAGAACATGTGACTGCAGGCGCGTATACGGTACGTGTATACATATGTCCGTATATCGTATGCAATACCGCATTTGTGTACGTATACTTTTAGATGCATGTGTGTATGCATGTCATTGCGTCCCCGACGCCAAATTCTTGCACCCTGGATGGGCAACCTACGCAGTGCAACATACGTGTTGCTAGCTAACTTCAGCCTGCAATATGGTGCAGACCTGTGTTGTCAAAGCTACGCGTGGAAGTCCACTTTGCCCACTTTGGAGTCCTCAACCCCACTGCTCGCGCAATCCTCCGACACTCCCACACGCAATCTGTGCTGCACAACCCCTGCGGCCGCGATCGCTGTGACTACTTGGAACTGGTTGGGCGCATCTATGCGGCTGCGTGAGCGCGTGCAAGCTCGCGCGCAAAGCGACAACCTGAATGGACACAACCTTTTGCGGCCGCGATGGCCCTTACAGATGGGAACGGATCAGCGCGACGCCGAGGCCACGCTGGCCTGCCGGCACTTCACTGCGAATCGGTTCTGGACGGGCGTGGTCGGCAACAGTGGTGATAGTAGCGATGGTGGTGGCGATGCTTACGATGACGACGGCAAGGAAAATGACGGCGCCGATGCTGGTGACGATTGTGGCGATGATGCTGTTCATGTGTCGGTGGTGAAATTGGGTGATTGATGATGGCGGCAATGGCGGCGGTCGGCGGTCACGATAAAGGCTGTGATGCGGCGGCGTTGGTGAGGGTGATAGTGGGGAATTGTGCGCGCACACATGCAATGAGTTTGTCGACTGTTTGTTGGGCGGTATTTGGTTGTTTTTGTTCAGAAGCTCTGTTTTGACATGCTGCGAAAACAAATTGTCGTCAAAAGGATTTCCACGCGCGCGTGGCGGCGCGCGCGTATGGTTCCCATGGTATTCTTTGGTTTTCGTGCACTGGGCGCATGCTGGATCAACGCAAACGCACCGCGTGGTGAAGTGAGAACGGGGGTTCTGGACGAGTTCGTTATTCCCAGATGGTTCTCGTATGGGTTCCGCAAGGGCGCGCGGGCAGAACATTGGCAAGGTGATGATCCATGGTTAGCCCAAGGGTGATGTATGGTTTGGTGCTGAGCTGCGCAATCCGGGTGCATTCGGTATGTTTTCGACATGTGCGCGCGCGTGGGGAATGTGTGCCGTAGTTCGCGATGGATGCTTGAGACGGTACCCCTTGGTATGAGCGACTATGGGCGCCGAGTATTTTTTCAGGAGGATAAGGAGCGATTTCTGGCTTGGGATTGCATTGCATGGGGAACGAACGATGAGACCGAATCGTAAGCCATTTGCACTGTCCAAGGGGAGCCGCAAAACATAGGGTGGGGTGAGGGTGGTTGATACTATCTTTTGTGTTCAAAGACGACTTGTCCCGAGGCAGCCTGTTTGGTGCAATTGTGCGATGTAGTTTGTGCGGCGCAAGCAATGATGTGTAGGCTATGGTTTCAATGTTGGGTCGTATGTGCTGTGTAACCCATGCGGTGCGGACAGCGTACTACAAACGGCTGGTTACAATGTACGTGGTGTGCGCCACGTTGTGACATCTACGCGATGCCAGCTACGTGGTGCAACATCGGCGGCCCACTCGACGTGGCAGAGAATATGTGGGGTGCCAGCTATGTGGTGCAATGTATGCGGCCTGTAGTCGAAACCGATGGTAAGGATGGGTTACCTTCCAAAGGGTACCCTTGCATCCGTGCCTCTCTGGTGCATCCTTGACTACTTCCGGTGGCCCGCCGCGCTCGAAACAGCTTCAGCATGGACGTCCAGGGGGCTCGCATTCTTCTCGCGCACCCTTGCCATCAGTCCTGACTGTAAGCTACGTGCTCGGTGCGAGCAGCGTGGCATCTGCTCAACAGGAAGGAGGGGGAAGAAACGGAGTCGCCCGTGCGCGGCGACCGCACGACGACCTGGAGCAACCCAGCCGGCGCACGGGGCGCCCCCGGGGCGCGGCGCCCATGGGCGCCGGCCTGGCGCGGCGCCCACGGGCGGTGCCCACGGGCGGCACGGCATCCGCAGCGCAAGAGCCCCATCGGCGGAAGCACCGCTTAAGAACAAACATTCAGAGACACCGAGAGAGGGAGAGAGAGAGAGAGAGAGAAAGACAGAGAGCGGGAGAGAGGGAGGAGGCAGAATCATCCCATTGAGCTGCTTCAGGAGATGGTGTGGGGTATCAGATGTGTCCGGATGGGCTCCCAGCCTACACTCAATTGCATCGTTACCCCGCGTATTTGGATACGTGGCGTTTGGTCTGTTGCTTTCCGTGCCCGCACTTCTGAGTTCGACTTCGCAGATTGTCTTCAGAACAGACTCCGCCAAAAAGCACCCTGAGTCACAGGGGTCCGCGTTGATCGCCAAGGTTCGTGTTCTCTGGAAGCCTCCACAGGCACAGACGTGTCTCACGGATTCAAGTAGCAGAAGTTGATCTTCGAGCTTCGAGGATCGAGCAGAGATCGCGTTTTCCTGCCCATCCTCGTCTGTCTGCCCCTGTCCCTGCGTGTTTTGTCGTCCTGCCCAAACCCACGCCCCGTGGGGTGTCCCGTGGACGGCCGTTTGCAAGGGAGGGGAGCGGGAGCGAGAAGGGAAGGAGGGAGGGACAGGGGGAGGAGGGAGGCCCTCCCTCCTTCAGGAGGGGAAAAGACAGACACATTTAATCGTCGATTCCCCAGGAAAGATTGGACAATATGGGAAGTGAGGGGGAAGACAGACCCAGAAAATATTGGAAAATATGGGGACTCCGGTTACTTGTGTCTGTTTATTTGTGTGTCCCAGGGCCCCTTCACTCCTCCCCTTTTCTTCCTTCTCCCCCTCCCCCCCCCCCTCCTCCCCTCCTCTCCCTCCGCTCTGTTGCCTCATGAATGACTCCTCTCTGTCGCGCCCCGGGGCCAATCGCAAGGGGCGGCCGCTCGTTTCGCTTGATACTTTCTCACCATCTCTGGTCCTGGAGCTTACGATTTGCAACAGTTTCACGGATGGAGGCCGGTTGGTTTTCAAAATGTGACTCTCGCCTCAACACCGCGCACATCCGTTTCAACAAATGTCAAAAAAATAGGGATTGAGGGCAGTTGGTTTTCAAGATGTGGTTTTCGCTTCAGCGCCGCGCACACCCGTCTTAAACCTTTGCAAGAGCCTCACGAGTTGGGGACAGGTCATTTTCAAAAATGTGGTTGCCGCCTTAGCACCGCGCACATGATTCAAAACACCTTGTAAGAATTGCACGGATGTAGGGCGGGTCGTTTTCAAAATGTGGTTCTCGCCGTGGTGCCGCGCACATTCGTCGTGACATAAAACGTCGAGCTTCACGGATGGAGGGCGGGTCCTTTGGAAAATGCGGATCTGGTTTTAGCGCCGCGTGCATTCGTATTGAGCGTTAACAGCAGTTGCAAGGATTCCCATGGTTAACGTCCCAGAAATGGTATTTAGGTATGATGTCGGTTTGTCAGGGCGCAGCAGTTACGTTGATTCGTGGTGTTGAACTCTAGGGAACGGTGTTCTGGCGCGGCTCAAGATCGTCAAGACGGAACAGTGCCGGTGTTCCGCGGCATCGAAGTCCCATGAATGGTGTTCTGGCACAGTTCAGGGTTTTCAAGCAGTCATTTTCCAATTGGGCATTGATTTCATTGGAATTGAATATTTGCAGGGGCCTGGGTAGGGGGAGCTTTGAGGCAGGGTTTATTGCAGTATCGTTGATGAGTCTTGGGTTTACACTGGTCCCACTTCTCCCCTCTTCCCCCTCCTCCACCTCCTCCCCCCCCTCCACCTCCAGGAGGGGTGCCTTGGAGGATCTCCGCGCCCTTCTTGGAGGGGTGCCGAGGATCGCGCAGAGTAGTGTCGGAGGAGGGGGGTGGCTCCTTAGAATCACCAGCTCTTCTAAGGAGCAGCCTCTTCCTAAGCACTTTTCTCACCTCCCCAATACCCCCTGCTGCGCGCCGCCGAAAATGGGAGGAGGAGGAGGCTCCGGGTGATTGGTCTGATCGTTTTGTCACTTTGGCTGGCGCGTCTGGTCGCGGAAGTGGCCCCGCTCAGATGGGAACCGCCGCCCACCTCTGCGCAAGCGAGTTGGCAGTATCTTGCTGGCGCTCAGGCCGTGCCGAGGGAGGAGGATGAGGCTGACAAGCAGGAGGAGGCAGACGGGTAGGAGAGAGGGGAGGCGGGAGAAGGGGGGAGGAGGGATGAGTCAGCAGAAGCATGATGGAGAGGAGGGAGGCGAGAGGCGGGAGGGGAGGGCGGGAGGCGGGAGGAGGAGAGAAGTGGGAGGAGAAGCGAGGAGAAGGTCACCTCCTCATCCTCCTCAACCGCCTTTCCTCCTTGTCCCATCTGCTACAGGAGGGCGAGGAAAGCGGCGACCAGAAGATGCAGGAGTGAGTGCCTCAGTGCAGCGGTGTGTCTTAGATTCGTCCACCAGCTCCGACCTTGTTCCAGACTCGTTGACGCAGGGGGAGTGCTGGGTTTTCAGGCAGGCTCAGGACTATGATGAAGATCAGTCTCTCCAGAGCGCTCTGGAACGCTCTTTGAGTGTTCTGGAGTGCTCTGAAAGGGCTGTGGCGCCTGATGGTGTACATCTTTCAGGCCCGCCAGCCGCCAGCTCTCAAAGTATCCAGGTGTTCTGCGAGTGAGCGAGCCACACGAGCAGGACTGTCGGCTGCTCGGCCCTATGCAGGGCATGGGTGAACAATCAGTCTACCAGCCAGACAGCGTGAAGTATCAATAGACTGGGAATGCAGAAGAATGCACGGCGGGGAGGCTAGGAAGGAGGAGAAGGAGGAGGAGAGGGGAGCGAGGGAGGGGGCATCACAACTGGTTCATGCAGGAATCGATGGATTGTTCTCAATGTCCGGCGTTTGCAGTGCCTATACAAAAACATATGTGCACATGTGTTCGCAGAACGTGTTCAAGTCATCATTCCATTGCAGCCGTGGTATGCCTCGTGTCCGTTTGTGGGCCGACGGCAGCTGCCGCAGGAGGGGCGCCCACTTGTCGACCTGTGCGTTGAAGAGCTGACGAGCTAGCCGCCACTTCAAAGAGACGTCCGGGGGAGCTGTCGTAGACAACAAGTTGGACACGCGCGCCTGCATCTCGCGCATCATATCCTGCCAGCCGTCTCTGTTTACTCGCCTCGAGCCCGCCATAGTTCGAAGCATCCTAGTTCGCACTCCCCGGATCATGGCGTTGTGCTGCGGCTTCAGAGCCACGCTGGCCATTCCCCACAGTAGGACCGGCAGGACTGCAGAGTTGGACAGCTTTCTGCTGTGACCAGCGTTCATCTGCTGGCTCATGAGTATCAGGCGTTTTTGAGACTGGTACCACGCGGTAGATCTTTTTTCTTGACGGCAACTGCTGCCCCCTTTTTTGACAGATTGAGGGTTTCCGCTGAATGTGCGCGAGATTTGTCTGGAGAAAGCACGTGGCGGCAGCGGCCAGCAATCCACGCAATTTTCCAAGTGCCAGCGGCGCGCCGGCGTCTCTCGAGGATTAGATTTTCGCGTTTGTCGCGCTAAGTTTCAGCCCGACCGTCTCGATTTCTTCAAGCAACAGCGACAGCATGACGTTTGCGTCCTCCAGTAAGCGGGCATAGAGAAGAACATCGTCTGCCGATCGAGTGCTCGGAAAAGTGTTCTGTTTCGCCTGGGGGGTTCAACACCTGCGCTGCGTGGCGGCCCTTCCACCTGCTGAAAACAATCTCCATGCTTGCATGGAACAAGCGCCGGCTCAAGACGTCACCCTGGCGAACGCTCCACAAGAGCTCAAAGACGTCGCTCGTGCCAACTTGGCCCTTGTGCCCCCAGTACAACTCATGCAGCACGTAGGCGTGCGCCTCATCAGCGCCCTTGCTGCAAGATGGGCTTTATAACAGATTCGTGGGATACTTTGTCCAACGCCATGTTAAGGTTCAGACTGACTACCCAGAAGTCGTGATTGAATGCTTGAGCAAACCCTGCCATGTGACCCATGCAGTGCAGGACCTCGCTGGCGCCGAAGTCAAGGCCGGCGCCTGGCGCTGCCTTCAACCGCAGCGAAATTCTTTGACAACAAAATGTTTGGCCAGAGTATTATACATCATCCTTTGCACTGCAGTGGGGCACGAATGTGACGCTTCTAGCGCGTTTCCTGTTTTAGGCAGCGCTGTGAAAATAGTACGCGGCCAACAGTTCGGGAAAGCCCTTCCTTCAAAACGTCTTTGCAACGGTCAAGGCTTATTATCGTTGCTCGCAGTGGTGGGTGTAGAACGCGCTCTAGTGCAATCCCTTCGGAGTCCGGTGCCTTGTTGCGCTCCAGCTGCTTCAGTGGCGCCATGATTTCTGCCATGATAAAATTGGGGGCGTCACGGGGAGCACTGCGCGAGAGCGGCCATTCAGCTGGGCCCTTCCTGGAGTACACTTCGGAGGGAACATTGCGCGAGAGCGGTCATTCAGATGGTCCCTCCCTGGAGTATACTTCGGGGAGAACTCGCGCAAGCTCGTTGTCGCCTGGCCATTTTTGAAGCATTTCTCGCTCTACTGGAACGTGGCACATTGTGTCCGAGCGAAACAAACCTTTGAACTCAGATGCGATGCTCGTTGCCAGGCGAGTCTTCAGACCCGAACTTCTCTCCGAAGAACCCGCTGTCAGCGCCAACGCAACGCCCTTCTCCTGAACGGGTCTCTCTCCTGATCTCGGTCTTTCTTCCTTTGCTTGCAAAGCAACGTCTGGTTTCCCAGGGGTTGGGGTCGTCGCGGCATGCGTCCGCAGGTGCCTTTCAGACGAAAATGCTGAAATTCCCAGAAATTCCGACTGACTCTGTATGTCGTTGGATATGTTTAACGAATTTTGGCGCCGTCTTAGGCGTTGCACATTCGACACCCGTCCATGTCTTTGCGGTGCTTCGCTGCGCCCCCTCGTGGGATCCAGCGCGTTCGTGTGATAGTTTGAGCCCGTTTCTTTATTGCTTGGGGCATGACGGGCGTCATGGCCCCTGCTCCCCCCCCTATGACGTAACGCTCTCCCCCCAGTGCGCTCCGGGCACTGCCGCCGTGCGCGTTGGGATCCGCGTAGGTGTCCGCGTAGGAATCCGAATAGGTGTCTGGTCCGCAGGCGTCGTCGTGGTCGTCGTCGTCGTCGTCGTCGTCGTCGTCGTCGTCGTCGTCCGTCGTCGTCGCTCGTGCTTCGTCGCTCGTCGCTCATCGTCGTCGTGCGCGCGGACGCGGCTGGAGCCTGTTTTTTATGGGCCGATGACGGCAATCATCTGGGGGGGGAGGGGGTCGATGACGTGACGTTTCGCGCCGGCGGCGTTTGGGAATGTTTAGGAATGACGGAAGACGGGTAGCACGAACATGTAGGTGGCGATATGCACCACAACGCCTGTGTACATCACAGTGCCCGCGTGCACCGCAGCGCCTGTCCTGTGTACACCGCACCGCCGATGTACACCACAGCAGCCGCGTGCAACACAGCGTCAGCTTGTGCCACCGTGCTTGCGGGCACAGCAGCTCCTGCGTACACCACAGCGCCTCCGTACCCCACATCAGCCGTGCGCAACACAGCACCAGTGTACACCACAATGCCTGCGTGCATTGCAGTGCCTCTGTACGCCACGGCGCCTGTGTGCACCACATCAGCCGTGTGCAACACAGCACCATTGAACATCAGAAGGGATCCCTGTGACAAAATGGAGCGCATGAGGATTCCAGAGAAAATCATAGAAAACATATCCTCATGGACAAAGGAGCGCCGCTGGAATCTACGAGTCCCCCCGAGTCCGCCCGCATCACCGTGAATCCCACTTGCGTCCAGGAGGCTCCAGCTAAACTGGCCGTCCGAGAACCAAGTGGACCGATTCAATCGACCATTCTGCGGTGCACGCTGAGATGCGCACGTGCGTTGTAACGCCAAGCCGCACGACAGGGGGTAAGAAGGAGGAGGAGGAAGAGGAGGAGGTGGAGGAGGAGGGAGGAGGGAAAAACGTCGCATTCGATTATCAGAACTTTCTTGGCGTGGCGTTTAGTTGTCCGCAGCTGATCCTGACGTACATGCTCCCTCTACCTGTCCTGTGCACGCAGGCACTGTGGTGTACACCAGCGCTGCGTTGCACGCGGATGCTGTGGTGTAAACAGGCGTTGTGGCGTGCACAAGCGGTGCGGTGCACGCAAGCACTGTGGTGTACACAGGCGTTGTGTTGCACATGGCTGCTGCGGTGTATGTACACCGGCGCTGTAGTGCTCCCAAGTATTGTGGTATACGTGGGCGGTGCGTTGCACACGGCTGTTGCGGTGTACGCAGGCGCTGTGGTGCACACGCGCGGTGTGGTGCACGCGAGCGTTGTGGTGCACACAGGCGCAATGGGCAGATCGCCACTTACATGCTGCTCGCGTCGTCGTCGTCGTCGCTCGTCGCTCTTCGCTCGTCGCGTCGTGCGCGCGGGCGCGGCTGTGGTGCCGGAGCCACTCGGCGGGGGGGGGGGCGTCACGTCATACCCCCCCCCGCCCTCCCCCCCCCCATGACGCCCATCATCGCCGAACATAAAGAAACGCGCTCTTCGCAGCTCGGCAAGGTCGCCGTGTCGCGCCACACTCGCCGTGCGTCTTGGGAGAACGCCGAGTTTATTGGACCCGCCGTCACTGATCTGGAGGCCTCGTTGCTTTTGAGGCAGTCGAGCGTTCATTTTGCGGTCGGCACATTTTGGTCAGCCCATCGCTCCGCATTTCCGGCCCACAACGCCCTGGCGCGATACGCTAACCGTGTCTCGGCCCCCGACCGTCAACATCCCGAGCCTTGCGAAGCCTCCCGCCCTGCGGGGCGGAACCACACGCTATCCGCTTGCAAGGCATAGCGTGTCGCCGGGGCCACCACCGCGACACGTTAAGTAAACGTTCCCGACCGTACTTCCTCAGAACTAGCTGCGTGGGCATGGGGGGAGCGTTTGGGCGCCTAGAGCATCAAACTTGTGAAAAAAGAAGAGCCGGAGGAAGAGGAGGAGGAGGAGGAGGAGAATCAGGTGGACGACGATGTGGACGACGATGCTGAGAAGGAGGAGGAAAATGGGTTGAGCAAACTCGGGCAGGCTGACCCGGGATCTGCACTGGGGACAGTGCCGTGAATCCGCCCAGATTTGAGAGGTGGGGAGGTGAGATCCATACATTCGGTGCCTCGAGAAACAATTAGGGAACCAGTTGTTTTGCATGATTTGCCTCCAGAGCCCAGCTCCGGGACTCGGGACAAACAAAAAACGTTTCGGGATGAAGCGCCAGCCGTGGGAAGGGATCGAGAGATCAGGGGCTCACGCATCGAACGTATCAAAGCGCGGGATGTCTGGGGAGGGATCTCGATGAGGAGTCTCCATGCAGAAAAAGGGTCATGATGGAAAGGGGTCCAGGGGTCTGTTCGCCGTTTTCGGGGCCATCCCAGGGGCCCCAGGAACGTCAGCCAGACAGAGGCGGGTTGCAAAACCGGTGAAACGCCCGCGGTCCCGTTTCCCTCCCGACAGGACCTTTTGCCAACGGCGGAGGAATGTGGAGGGCGCAGAAGAGGCTGCAGGGAGGCAGCTAGCGGAGCAGGGAGGGGGGGCGCGTGCCAGATGCGTCGAGCCAGGTGGAGCGGCAGGGAGGGTCACACGGAGCAGGATCGTGAGCAAGGCCAGAAGGAGCGCACTGAGGAGACCGAAGAGCAGGGCCAGGTGCAGGGGCAGGAAGAGCAGGACGACGACGAGGTGGAGGATCAGGGCAACGCTGCGGTGGAGGAAGAGCTGGAGCAGCAGGATCATATGACCCTTCTCCATCTGCTCCCCGCTCCCTCTCCTGCCCCCTCTTCCGACGACGACAGCGGTGGTGGCGACGACGGCGGCGACCACCACCAGACTGACGACGACCACGACAGCCACCAACAACCTACGGCGACGACGACCACGACGACAGCCACCGAGGTGACGACGACCTCGACGACCACCACGACGACTTCATACGAGGACGACCGAGGTGACGGCGACGACGGCGACGGCGACGGCGACGACGATGACGACGACCTCGAGGCGAGCCTGGCTCGTCCCCTGCCCCCTTCTGCGCTACGCGATGCAGGGGGGTGCCCCCTCACAAGGGGCCCTCTTGGCGCTGGGCCTCCCGGGGCGCTCCTCCATGCAGGACATCCAGAGGGGTCTGGAGGAGATGCCTTTGGGGGGTCGCCTCCTCCCCCCCCCGGATGGAAGTGGCGCTGACCCAATCACTTGGCAAAGACAGGAGGATCAAATGCCAATTTCGGATGTTTTTGCTATTTTCCCATGCGGCACGGCTGGAGTGTATACGTTTGAACGCCCTCCTCCAGAACACAGTGCAGTCTCAGACATGCGGTTGATTGGCTCTTCCAACCCGCGGGCCTCAGAGGTGTCGACCCCGTCCCCACATGGGGTGGCACCTTTCCGCCCTGGCTCCATCCTTGCTGGTCCGCCGAAAAATGGGCCTTCGAAGGCCAGCGCGAAGGAAGCACGCCTTAGTTGAAAGAAGTTGGTCCACGAGATACCTGGGGGGCTGATGGCGGGCCCTGGCATGAAAGTCAGGACGCTGAAATCAGTACCACGTTGGGCTCACGAGGAGCTTGGGTTTTCGGGCCGTTCCTGGGATCTCGAGCGGGGAGCATGCGGTCATGAACTTTGGCTCAACGTTCCGCTCCGCTGGTTCTGGCCCACCACGCTTCGGCGCGACACGCTATCCACATCCCAATTTCCAAGCGCCAGCGACCCGAGCGTTTCTGAGCATCCTGCCCCGCAGAGCGGAGCGCCACGCTATCCGCTTGCAGGGCATGACGTGTCGCCGGGGCCGCCTCCGCGACACGCTGTGCAAAAGTTGGACCGCACTGGTGCCTGAAGCTCGCCGTGGTCATACAGTCAACCCGCATAGTAAGGATGGGCAACCTTCCCAAGGGTACCCTTGCATCCTTCCCCTGCGGCCCATCCTTGGCCGCTTTCGCTGGCCGCGCCCCGCTCGCAAAGTGTCGACATGGCCTTCCAAGACCATTGCGTCTTTGCCGTGCGTCCTTAGGATATGGGTTGACTGTAAAAGGCCCCTTCGTTCCTTCTTCAGCGCTCCTCACGCGTCAGCACGAGGACTGCAGGGCACCCCGCTCTCAGAGCCAGTGCGCGCCGCCGGTGCCCTTCCTAGCGCGCGCCGCGGGCGGAGCGCATGCAGGCCAGGCCTGGCGCTGCGCCCTGTCCCTCGGAGGCCATGTCGCGCTCTCGCGCGCGCGCGTCCTCGTCGGGTGTTGCTAGAGGTGCCTCTTGCCCAAAGTGCCGTTAGGAGTCTCGGGGTGGCCCAGACGGCCTCCAGAGCACCCTTCTTGGTTCCAAAATGGAGCGAAGGGCTGGGGGCACCTTGAGCCAAGGCACTTCTAACAACACCCGGGGAAAAGATCCACCTCCGCAGACTTCCCTCGCAGCCCAGGCCGCCCCGTAGCGCGCGCGCGCGCGCTCCTCGACGCGCCGCACGCCAGCAGGGCCGCCCGCGGGGCGGCCGTTGCCGCGCGGGAGCGAGCCTCCTCTGGGGGTCCAAAGCGGTGCGGTGACTGGCCGTTTGCTTGGCATCGCTCCGGCGTGTGCATTCTTCTTCGGCAATGGCCATCGAGAAGCAGCGTTATCTTGCGAGGAAATAGACGCACGAAGTCGACAAATGCACGGGGAGTGGACGTCCGACCGATGGCGAGTTGGTGACTCACCGCACGGTTCGTTACCGCAGGGTTTTTGGGTCCTCAGAAGCCCTTTTCGCCCAAAACATGCGCTCCCGCGCGCGTCATTCAGGATGGAGAACTTGTCACGGGGAAAGGGTCTAGAGCTGCGTGGGCGCACGGGGAAAAAGAACACGAGGCCGGAGGACAGGGTTGGGGGGAAAGGGAGAGAGGAAGACAAGGAGGAGGATGAGGGGGGGCAGGTGGCGCAGCGTTGGAAGGCGGTGGTCTCATTCGGAATTGCGATAGCGCCGCAGCCTGCTGGACTCCCCATGGGCGCAGCACCAGGGGCGCAGGGAGGGTAGCGACAGTTGCGCGCGTGGGGGCTTCCAGGGGAAGGCAAGGTCTCGCTTGGGTCTGCGATGTCACCTCTCCCCGCTGGACTCCCCAGGGGCGCAACAACGTGGCGACAGCTGCTCTCCTGGCAGCACCCAGCGGAGGACGAGGTCTGATCTGGGTTTGGGTGGCACAGCGCTGTGCAGGAGGGCAGATGGCAGCAGATGCTCGCGCAGGGGCGCTCAGCGGAGGGCATGGTCTCGCTTGGGTATGCGATAGCACCGCTCTCCGCTGGATCCCCCAGGGGCGCCGCAGAGTGGCGACAGCTGCGAGGCCTCACCGTCTGGGGGCAAACCGCTGCGCGCCTGGCAGCACCTAGCCTAGGACGAGGGGCGAGATGCCTCATTCGGGCATGCGCAGTGGCGCATGAGCCTGGCGATAGCTGAGCGCCTCACGGCACCAACCGGTGTGCAACGCTGGCGTTCCGCATGAGCAGCAGCGTAGGGCCGCCGGTTTCTCGCGCAAGGCCCGCTTCTTTTCGTGGCCTGCGCAGCGCCTCGGTCCGCTGGACTCCCTAGGGGTGCAGGAGCCTGGCGACAGCTGAGTGCCTGACCGCTTCTGGCGGTGTGGACCGCTGGCGTCCCGCGTAGGCCGCGGCGCAAGATCGCTGTGCCTTCTCGCGCAATCCAGGCCCGCTTGTGCTCGCGGCCCGCGCAGCAGCTCCGTCCGCGGGAGCCCCCAGGGGCGCAGGCGCGAGGCGGCAGCCGAGGGCCTGACCGCACCAAGCGGGCCTCCCGCACCCCCCCGACTGCCCGGAGGCGGTGCAGTCGGGGGGCTGGGCCAGCACCTTTTTTTTCTCAGGTGCGTTTGGCTGGCGCTCCGCAGGAGCAGAAGGGAGGAGAGACGGGATGGGGGGAGGTCTCCCCAAGAAAGACGGCGGTCATGGTGCTTCTCGCCGTACGTTCGGACTCCGGACCCCTTCGAGGCCATCAAAGACGGTCCAGGATGAGAAGGCGGTCCAGCGGAAAGTCCCCTGGGGTCCAGGACCTGGTTGCTTCGGGGCCCCTTCATCTCGCGACACGGAGGAGGGAGCGCACGGTTGGTCCGCCCCCCAGCGAGAATCAAGAAGTCGAAGAGTAACACGCTAGCTTGGTGGCTTCTCGGTGCGGCGGTTCCGCCGGCGACGGCCTCCAATGCCAATGTTGAGTACCCTCTGGGGACCCGTTTGCAGGGCCCAGGGCCAGCCCACGGAGCGAACTCCATACGAATGGTGGGGTCGGTTGATTCTGTCACCCCGGCAACGGAGACCTCTCAAGGCTGAGCGGTTCGGGTTGTGGTAAGACCCATGGCCCACGTCGTCCAGGCAGGAGCCTCCCGCACATCGGAATAGTGGTTCTGATCGCCACGGTGCAGCCAGCTCAGCGCCGCCGCCTCCTCTGCGGGTTGTTCGGTAGCTCCGTGCCTGCCGCACCGCAGTGGGCGAGCCCCTCCTGCGCGACCGACACGGTCCCTGGCGCATCTAGGAGGAGGTGGATGGAGGAGGCCCCTCGTCGTCGACGACATCGCCGCTGTCGTCTCATCCCCTGGGCCTCTCCGAGGCCCTCCGCAGGCCATCCTGGCTCGGGGGCCAGCGGGTGCGTTTTCAGGACGCCCAGACATGCGATGCCTTGACTTGTTCAGCGCGGGCCCCCACGGCTTTTCTTCCCGAGCCGTTCTCTGACGGCCCCATGGGCCCGGCGAGGGCACCTAGAGGCCGACCACGGCCCCGAAATCGCCCGTCGTGAGTTCTGCCACGACGCGAGCGCGTCTGGGTGCGGGCACCGCCTCTCGCCGCACGGCGCCCCGCTCGCCATCGCCCTCCCCGGGCCTCTCCGCGGCCCTCCGCAGGCCATCTCGGCTCGGGGGCGGTGGGCGCCCCCAGGGTTGGCACCCCGCCGTCGGCGCACGCCCAGCATCGTGCAACCTATCCCCACCATCCCCACTGGGCCACGGTATCTCAGACCCACCAGCCATCCCCCCCCCAGATGGGGATGGGCCCCGCGAAGCCTGGAGGGAGCAACATTTATCCCCACCTGGGTGGGCAACCCTCAGATCTGACGTTGCCAGGAGCATGCAACGTCGCGGAGAAAGCATGACCAGAGCCTGAGACACAATCGTTCTGTGTCATTTTTCAAGCCAGATCGATCTGTGAGGACCTAATGGCCCGAAGCCGAGCAACATACCCGTTGCGATGAATGTGCAACGCCCCGACCTGTGGGGTAGGGATAGGGATCGACGAGATGGCCCCGCCGCCCGACGCGCTGCGCGCCGCGCTGGCCGCCGCGGCCAGCGCCCCCAAGGCGGAGCTCCTCTGCCGGCCGCGGCCGCCGGGCAGCGACGCGGCCGCGGTGCGCCTTGGTCTGGCCGAGCTGGCCGGCGCGGCGGCGGCGGAGAGCCCAGCGGCGCCGCCAGCGGAGCCCGCGGGCGCTGCGCGCGGCGTGTCGGCCACACGTAAGGGCGACCCTCCGCCAGGGTGGCCTTTGGTGTGGGCCCAGCGGGGCCCCCCTCGGTGCCCCCCCAGCACTGGCTTGCGCGCTTTGCTTTCGCCCCACCGTGGCCTCCTGAGGCCGCGCACCGGAGGCCACTCTTGCCCAGGGCCTAGGGTCCTCCTTGCGTGCGGCCGAGGCGTGGGGGCGCTGCTGGATCAGTGGCGCTCGAAGAAGCACAAACGGCATGGACGTAAACTCTCAGAGCTCCGCACGGATGTCTTGGATCATCGGCGCTGGGCCCCCCTGGCGGCGCCTGAGGCGCCGCCACTGGCGCGCTCCGCGCACCAGGGAGGGGGGTGCAGCGCCGATCCAAGAGATCCGCGCGGAGAGCCGAACGTTTATGTCTATGCCGTTTTGTCATCCGTAAAGGCTTCGCCCCCTGCCGCCGGCCCCCTCGTCGCGTCGTCGCGTTTCGGCGCTGCCTTGGCGCATCTGGGAACATCATGCGGGGGCGGATAGACATCATCAGCGCATATTGAGACGTTAGCGTTATCCTAGTGGCAATCAGCTCATCTCGCCACCGTGTCTTGGTTGTGGGTCTGAGGCCTCTTGTGTTCGTGTTGGGGTGTCGTGGGGAGTCTCTCGGAGGCCTCTTGGAGACGGTTTCGGCGCCTCTTGGGGGCCTATTGGGGCCTCGTAGGGTATCTTCTGGGCTTTTTGGAGGCCTCTTTGGCGCGTCTTGGGCGCCTCTTGAGGCCTTGTAGGGCCTCCTGGGGGCTTCTCGGGGCTTTTCAGAGCGCTTCTTGGGGTATATTGGAGCCCTCTGGGGCCGTCTTGGGGCCTCTTGGAGGCGTCTTGGTCTGTCTTGGGGCGGTCTTGGGAGCTCCTTGTGCCATCTTGGACCGTTGGAAAGCCCAAAATGCGAGAACCCCAAAGTGCCCTCGGGATGTTCATCTTGTGCAATGTACCACGGATTCTGGTTTCGGAGACGCGATTATTTAGCAAGTTGCATGGGTTGGTGGCTCTGGGGACGCGAACACAGGGTGATTTGCAAAGGATTCTGTTTTCGGTGGCGCACATGTGGTATAATTTATAAAAAGGCTTGTTGCCTCGGGGACGCACAATTCGGGACGTGAGTATGGTGTAGGTTACCCAGGTTTGTTGCCTCATGGACGCAAGCATTGTGTAATTTGCCATGGTTGCTGGCCTCGTGGACGTGAATATGATGTAATTTGCAAGGGTCGAGTAATTCCAAGGATCGTGGCCTCGGGGGCGCAATTGTGGCGTAACTTACGGGTGATCGTGGCCCCAGAAGCGCGAACGTAGTGCAATTTACGAGAGATCGTGGCCACGGGGCCACAAATGTGGTCTCGCGGGCGCGAATTTGGTTTATGAGGTATCGTGGCCTCGGGGGCGCGAGCGTGGCGTAGTTTACTAGGGATCGTGGCCTCGGGGGCGCGAACACAGTGTTACGAGGGATCGTGGTTTCGGGGGTGCGAGCGTAGCGTAATTTCCAACGGGATTGCGGCCTCGGGGGCGCAGGCGCGGCGTAATTAACGGGGGATCGTGGCCCGAACGTAAGGGAATTTACTCGAGATGGTGGCCCCGGGGGCGCGAATATGGTGTATTTTGCTAGGGTTCGTGGATTCGCGGACGCGAACGCGGTGCAATGTGCGAAGGATCGTGGCCTCGGGGGCGCGAACACAAAGAAATTCACGAAAGATCATTGCATCGGGAGCGCGGATCTCACGTATTCTTACGTGTCCCACGGCCCCGCAGGAATCCAGAGCACGCGACTCTCGGGTGGTAACCAGGCCCCTTTTGGCTCCCCCCCTCGCGCGGACTTCAACAATTTACCATAGGAAGCAGATGGCAGGACTGTAACATTGGAGACTGGAAACTGGAACTGGCGCAGGACACTGCAACCCTCATCCTCTCGACCTGATGGCCCCTCCAGGGGGGGCTGGCGGATTATTCTTCTAGGCGCGCGGGTTGGGTGCCGGCCGGCCCGCAGCTGCCCGGCCTGCGGGGCTTGGACTGGGAGGCCGTGGCCGGGAGGGCGCCCGACGTGGTCCTGAGCCGTCCGCCGCGGGAGGGCGAGGCGGCCGATGGCCGGGGCGGCGGCGGCGGGACGATCTGGGGCTACCACGGGGCCCCCTTCGAGAACGTCTGGTCGCTGCTGGGCTTCGGCTTCGTGAGCGCAGCGCTGCCCGGGCAGTCGCTGGGCCGCACCGGCGAGGACAGGCAGCTGTTCGGCCAGGGCGTCTACCTGAGCCAGGAGCCCGCGCTGGCCTACTCGTACGCCAGGAAGAGCGGCTGGCTGCCGCACGGGCTGGGGCGCTGGCGGTGCCTGCTCGTGGCAGAGGTGGCGATGGGCCCGCTGGTGAAGCTTGGCGGCGCGGGGCCGTCCTCCGGGCTGGGCGCGGGCACTGCGCCAGAGGGCTACATCTCGGAGTGTTGCCTCAAGGCGTCCCTGGCCCAAGAGGTCCCCAGCCTTTTGCTCCGCCTTGGAGCCCCCGTGGGGCCCTCCATGGGCCTCGTGAGGGAATCTCACAGAGGCCCTCTGGGACACCCTCGGGGGCACCTCGGGGCCAGGGGCCGTTCTGTCAACACCCGGGCATCATCGCGGAGAGCCCGAATGCCGTGACAATCCGCCACGCGTGCCTCTGGCACGATCCGGAAGAGCAGGTCTCGGGCGACTGCTGCCGCGGCCTCGAGGTGTGGATCGGTGTCGCCATCGTCGTCGGGGCCTGCCTTTACAAGAAGTGGTGCGAAACGCCTGCGTACGCGAGATACTTTTAAGCAGGGACCACGTGCGCCGCAGGCGCCGCACGTTGACCAGTCGGCTCATCCTCCTTCTGATCCTCGTCACTATACCTTTCCTCCTGGTCCGTCTTATCCTCTTCCCCCCGTCCGCTTCCAACTCCTCGCATCGTGCTTCGTGTTCGTATTACCCAATCTCACCCTCATCCTCGTTCATCTGCCCTGTTCTCTTTCTTGTGTGTTGTCCTTTTCCGTCTCTCCTCATGATGTTGCTCCGTCTCTTGCTCATCCTCTGGCTTCGTCCGTCACCTTCACCACTTCACTCGCCTCCCCATGTCCCCATCCCTCCACCCCCTCCTCCCTCACTCGTCAATGTATGTCCCCCTCAGCTTTGTCATCCCTCTCCCATAACCCCTCCTCCGCCATCTCTTCCTCCTCATTTCCCCCCTCCCTTGTCCCCCTCCACTCTCCCGTCCCTCTTCCGCGCTCCCTCCGCCATCTCTTCCTCGTCTGCCCTCTCCCGCCCCCTCGTCCTCATCCTTAATTCTCCTCGTCCCCCTGCCCTTCATCTTTCCTTCATCGTCCTCGTCCTCGGCCCCCTTCTCCTCCTCTGACTCGCCCTACTCCTGCCCCTTCCGTCTCATCTGCGACACCGTCCTACGTCCCCCTTTCCCTAGGTTTGGATCACATCGCGGGCCACAGGGGGCCCGTTTGTCTGAGCCCCCAGCCCCTTGCCCGTCCAGGGCGAGGGGTGCAAAGACGGGGGGCGCGCCGCGTTCGCACGCCCGTCGGCGGGCCAGCGCTTGCCTTGTGTTTGCCGTGGCCCGGGCCAGGCGGCTGTTCTCTCATCGCGCCACGGAGACCATCACCTTGCAGCTATGGCTGGGGAAGGCGCTGGCGGCGGCGGCAAGGCGGGCGGTCCCGGGAAGAAGCTTTCCAGGTCGGCGTCGCGGGCCCCGCCTGAGGGTGGAGAGATGCGGCAGATTGCCGCTGCGCCAAGAAACTGCTACACTGGAAATGGTGCAAGCACTGTGGGCGTGTGAGGAACGGCGGAGCATCGCAGCCGCCGTTAAGTCGTGACCGCCCTACGAGGAGTGGGACTGGTGGTGTTCGTCGGGCTGGTCATCTGTTCGGTATGGATTCCATGCAGGCTCTGGTCGTCTTCGCCGCGTCGATAAGTAACAAGGAGACGACCGAGAAATATCGCGCTGCCATCCAACCGAAGTCTCAGCCAAGAACCACGGGCTCGGCCCTCCTCAAGGGCGAGTTACGCGGGTGCAGCTTGCGGGGAAGTCGGGGGCCAGGTCACAGCCAACGAGTACATGTAGCAACCCGAGCAGCTCGAGAAGCCGCCCATTGCGGAGAAACCCGCGCACATCCGCTCCAGCATGGCCCACGCCACGCTTCGCAAGGTCACGGGCAAGCTGGAGGCGGAGAACGCGGGGCTGGATGACCTCGTGGAGCAGGTGGACACTCAGCGCATCTTTGCGGCCGAGGTCGTCGCGGAGCTGAAAGTGGCTGACGAGGACTACCGCCAGGCGGTGGCCGAGGTGGCGGCGGGCGTGTGCGCGTCTGCTGCAGACGCAAGGGGTGCGACTGAAGCGGGGCAAGCGGTTCAAGCTCATGGACGGAATTTTGGACTACATCGATTTGTGCGACAACGGCCTGTTCTTTTTCGCCGAGTGCTATCGTGCAGAGTGATTTGGGTGAGGCCACAGAGCGGAAGCGCCAGATGCTGTAGACGTTTCAGATCATGGCAGGCAGCTTCTTCGGCGAAGTTCGCAAACAGGGCGAGACGCTGCAGGCTGAGCAGAAAGCCCAGCGGGAGCGGCTCGCGACGAAAAAGCGGCGAATTGGCGAGGATGAAGCCGCACCTGGTTGCGGAGATAGTGCTGTCGCCTCGGGTCATGCTTCTGGAGATGTTGCTCAGGCCAGGCCTGATGCGGGCACTGAGGACCCGCCAAAGCAAGCTGGCCCTGCCGTTGATGAATCGGCCACGGAGAAGCTCAAGAGCGCAGCTAAGGCGTCGGTGACTGCGGCGTCAACGCTCTCGCCTGGGAAGGAGATCGCCAGGGGTGCTCAGAAGGAGGCGTCGTCGGGGTGACACGCTGAGGAGGATCTTGACGGTTTGTGCTTCTCACTCAGCTTCGGGACGCACTCATCGTAAGTTTCGGTTCAGCTACTTGGACGTGGTGAAGGCTGGTCTCCCGCCATCGCGATTGAGTGCGTTGTCGAGTCATTCGGGCTCTGCGTTGCGATCGGCCTCCTCATGCTGCGCCTCAGGCTTGGCTACGTCGGCTTCGCCGCGGCGCTCGACGGGGGCGGCTCTTCCACTGCCGAGTGGGGTCGGATCATCTTCTGAGTATGTTGCGGCCAGCAGCTCCCGTGTGAATCCGTGCGATGTTTGCGCAATTGCTGGTCGTGCCAGCCACCCAGATGCCCGTGGCGTTACTGGCAGGGCTTGCGCCGTTTACTTTCCAGAGGCCCCCCCAAAGCCGCCGGGCCCCGAAAGCTTCGGATTCATCATTGGACGCTACGTGCTGGAACTCGTTCAAGGAAAGGCTGAGCAAGTCGACCGCTCACGTCGTTTGCCCCCTAGAACACCACATCGTCAGGCCCTCTGCGGTCAAGGAGGCCGCATCTGGGTGTGCCCGACACCCGTTGGACAGCGATCTTGCCGCCCGCCATTACTGGCCATGGAGAAGGCTCCTCTGGGGGAGCAGGTGCACCCGCGAGGGATTATGGGCTTGCACGAGACTCTATGGGACTCAGCGCGTACTGAGGGGAGGTTGATCACCGCGTTGGTGCATCTCTTCATCTCCCTGGGGATTCGTCAACTTTGATCGCGTCGGCCAACCTTCATGACTTGTGAAAGGGCTGTCTAGCAGGAACCTTGACCTTCTCAGCGCCGTTGGAGCCACTGTTCAGATGTTGGGGCATCAGGCCGTTCTCGGCGGCGATTGGAATATGTCTCCGGAGTTGCTCTAGGAGTCCGGACTTCCCGAGAAGTTGGGAGATTTTCAGATTCAGCCGTCTGGTTCAGGAGCCCGCCGTTCGATCGGAGGCCTCAGCTTCTTGGATTACCTTGCGCGCGCGGGGTGCTTGGCCACTGAAGTCGCAGGAGACCAGCGTCGGTCAAGAAGCGCAGATCGCGCCCCGCATACCAGCGATCCTTCAGCTGTATCTTCGGCCGTCGCTTTCGCAATTATGCGCGCTGTCCTTTCGCATGCCTCCGCCGATTACGACGGGGAGGCCTACTGGTGTGGCAAGGTGTCCGCCGCATTGGGGTTGCATCGCCAGCGCGGCTGAAGGCTGCCTGGGGGCGGCGCTAGGTGGTCATGTCTGGGAGGCTCAGGAGTTATTCAAGTGGGTGAACTACGGGGAATGTGCCGACATGGCCGAACAAAAGCTCTGTGACATCGGTCAAGCTACTATTCCTGGCTTCGGAGCCCGCAGCAAGTCACTGCAGTTGCATTGGGCCCCTCTCCTGAAGGACAAGGCCCCTCCTCGCCGCCATCCGACGACGTTTGGGGAAGCAGTTGACCCATCGGCCCCAGGACCTGGCCATTGAGGTGCGAGAGGACTTGCCGGGGGCTTCGGGTGCCCAACGGTTCGTCTTGGGCCACCCGTCGGTCGTCACGAAGATTTCGGTCATTGGGTTCTCGGGGCTCGCGAGGGCGGCCCAGACGTTGTTCAGAGCGTGTCTAGACAACCCTATTCCAGTAGTCGTCGCGGGCCTGCTAGGCAAGTGCGAGTGGCTGGGGTCACCCGACGACTTGCCGTGCTCGTGTCAGCCCGATGTTGTTGAGCTCCAGCATGAAGCGCGCCGTGAAGCGCACGAAAGAGTGGCCCTCACTAAAATCCAGAAGTGGGTTTAAAAAACAAGCGCTCGCTTTGATGCCGAGGCGGCGCCTGGCTGGAAACCCGCCACGACGCTGTCGGCGGGGGGCCTGGTCCTATCGGACCTTCTGAGCTTCTTGAAGGACGAGGCCTCTGCATGGGCTGCAATCTGGGAAGCGCCCTCGAACGCTCCTGAGCGCATCTTTGGAGGTATACGTCAGCTCTTGCCGCTGGCGCCCCCCTGACCGCGTCCGAGCGCGGATGGGTTCCAGGTTTTCGAACTTTTGCGTCGATTCCCTCCGGTTTTCCAGCATCGGGAGGCCTTCCAGCAGCTGCGCCTCGCCGAGGGCGTTCCGGGGCTGCCCGGATCGGCCCGAACGGCCGCCGGAGAGCCGAGCTGTGGCCCAAAAGCCAGGAAAGGGCCAGGAGGGGATGGGCTCAGACGGGTAGTACATCGACCCCCAATCGCCCATTGTTCGCCGATAGGGCTCTGATCGCCCCACCTCGGCCAGCAACGTGCGGATTCGCTATCGAGGGCCTACCGCCGGTCTGTGGACGATGTATCGCCGATTCAGGCACCACCGCCACCACCACCATGGCGCGGGGGCACTTCCAGCGAGGAGGTCCACGATGCTTCCTGGAGCCGGGGATAGGGGATGTCTCGAGCGGTTCCCCCTGGCTTCTTGCGGTAGCAGTGGTGGTGTCGCTCCTCCTTCCTCCTACGGGGGGGATCGGGAAGGGGTGGATTACGGAATCTGCTTTTCGCGCAGCTGGATTCGGCCCCCCCGCCGGGCACCTTTCTCGATGCCAGGGCGCCTCCAGCGCCGAGAGGAGGAGCCGGGGAAGCCAGCTGCGTGAGCTGAATCCCCCACCCCCCCCCCTTATCGACCCTCCCCCCTTTTCGTCTCCACCCGAGCAGGGGGGGGCGCCCTGCCCGCCCCCGGGGCCGCGCTGCGGCCGCCCAGGCCGGCTTGCACATCTGGCGGGTGGGTTGGTCGCCGAAGAAGCGGGCGTGGTGCTGCGCGCACGAGGACCCCGCCGCGGGGAGAAGGAGGGCCAAGGGAGGAGGCGGAGGAGGAGGAGGAGGAGGAGGAGGAGGAGCTGGGAAAGGCGTTGAAACCTCCGTGCGCGAGCGTTGTTTGTTTGTTTGTTTGTTTGTTTATTTGTTTGCTTGTTTGTTTGTTTGTTTGTTTGTTTGCTTCCTTGTTCTCCTCAGCTGTCCTGTGGTGTTGGGTCCTCCTTTGAAAGACAGCGCCCCGCGTTCCTTCCTTCCTTCCTTCCTCCTCTCCTCCTGCTCGCAGCGTGCTCATCGAATTTCGGCACACCCCTCATACGTTTCGTGACCCCACGGGGAGCTCCGCCGAAGGCCCCAGCGGCAGGGTTCGCATGGCACCGCCGCTTCCATCTCGGCACACCCTCGCACTTTTAACTTGTAACCTGCGCGAGAGGTCGCCCCGCGGCTAGGGGAAGGGGGAGGGAAGGCAGCAGAGTGGGAAGAGCAAGGAGAAGCAGCAGCAGCAGCAGCAGCAGCAGCAGCAGCAGCAGCAGGAACAGGCAGTGCGAGGCGCGGCCGGCGGCCGCCGCCCGGCGCCCGGACCATGTGGGGCTCGCGCCTGGGCCCGGCGGCGGCTCCGCTTGGAGCCGCCCAGGGCCGCGAGGCCGCTTCCAGCAACGCCGCGGGGCCCAGGGTGGCCGGGGCGCGTGCCGCCGCCTCCAGCCGCGCCGCCGCCTGCCGCGCCTCCGGGAGAGCGCGCCGGCCGCGGCCCGCGCCCGCAGTGCTGGGCCGCCTCTGGGAGGCCGGCCAAGCCGGCCCGCTCCCAGAGAGCGGCCGCCGCGCCATCTTCGCGGGCCCCGCCGGCGGCCGTTGTCCCATCGCCGCCGGCTGCGCCACTCTGTCCGCCAGCTGCGCCGGCGCAGCCGGCCTCGGCGCTCCCGCCTGCAGCTGGAGAACCGTTGCTGCCGGCCACGCCGCCTGCGCGGCGGCGCCCCCGCTGGCGTCGGCGCTCCGCCGTGCTAGCGTGCTCCAGCCGCCGGGGTCCCCAACGCTGCTGGCGGCCTTGCCGCGCGCGTGCGGCTCGCCGACGCCGTCGTCTCGGTCGATGGCGTTGGCAAGGCCGCGGTGCAGTGTGGCGCGGCCACCGCCGACCAGACAACACCCGCCGCCTCCAGCTCCACCGGGCCTGGCCCGGGAGGCACCTCCACCGGCCCCGTGGCGGGAGGCGAAGCGACCTCGATTTCCGCCGGGAGCGACCCGGGAGGGAGGGCAGCCGGCAGTCCTGCATGGGGGGCGGCGCGCTTGGGGGGCGTCGCCGGCCTGCCAGCTGCGAGCAGCCCCGTCACTTCGACCGGGGGGGCCACGAGATCGAGGGGGGCGCTCCTCCGGATGCGATCGGGGAGCGGCGGCACCTCGACCAGACCAGGGTCTACGGGAGGCAGCTCATCTCCGCTTCTTTGGGCCGAGCTGCGGTGGAGGGCGCCGCGCGGGCCGGGGCCCAATCGGCACACCCCTCACACGCTTCGTGGCCCCATAGGGAGCTCCGCCGAAGGCCCCAGTGACAGGGTTCGCATGGCACCGCCGCCTCCATTTCGGTACAGCCCTCGCACGTTTCGTGGCCTCAAAGGGAGCTCCGCCCAATGCCCCAGTTGCATGCAGGATTCACATGGCACCGCCGCCTGCAGTTCGGCACACCCCTCACACGCTTCGAGCTCCGCCGAAGCCCTAGTGGCAGGGTTCGCATGGTACCGCCGCCTGCATTTCGGCACACCCCTCACACGTTTCGTTGCCACATAGGGAGCTCCGCCGAGGGCCCCAGTGGCAGAGCTTGCGTGGCGCACCATAGGGACGCCACCGAAGACGATATTCGCATTTGCGGTATTCACGAATGCTTATAGTTGGGTTATTTTCCAGGCTAATTGCTTTTTTGCTGCTCTCCCTCTCCTCTCTGTATATATATATATACATATATATATATATATGTCTCTCTCTCTCTCTCTCTCTCTGTCCCCCCTTATCTCTTTCTTTCTGTCTCTGTCTCTGTCTCTCTCTCTCTCTACATATTACCTCGTTCGTTCTCTCTCTCTCTCTCTCTTTCTCTCTCTCTCTCTCTCTCTCTTTCTCCCTCCCTCCCTCTGGATGATTGCCGCCTCGCTGTGGCCGCGGGGGATGCTGCGCAGCTCGTTGCAGACCAAGGCGAGGGGAGGATCGACAAGGGAGTGGGGAAGGACCTTCTCCCCCTCCCTGCAAGCACTCACATGTAGGGTTGAACTTGTGTCAGCCTGCGTTGTGGGTTGCTGCCATGCGTCGCTATGATATTGCGCAGCGCTTGATTATCTTGTGTATGCTGTTATTCAGAGCGACATCGGGTTTCCGATGGTCGTACGGTTATGTGTGGTTTTCCTGGAACCTTCGGGGCGCCTCCTCGTCGCCGCGGCCGGGTCCGCCTCGAGGATCCTGCTCTAAGAACCTCCTACACACCCGTGTGGCAACTAGGGTGTTACAGTGAGGGCGCTAGTGTGTTCTGTAAGTAGGGCTAACGTGTTCGGCTTAGGGTGGTACGGTCAGGCTGTCAGGGTTTGGGTGCTTAGGGTTGAATTGCTATGGTGTTAGGGTTCGAGTTACGTTCTTCCATAGGTTAGGGGTGAGGTGTTTAGGGCTGGGGGGGTTAGGGCGTTAGGGTTAGGGTGTTATGGTGGGTCGGGTGCGAGGGTTAGGGTCAGGGGACACGGTGATAGGGCAAGGCTGTTACTGTTAGGGCGTCATGAACGGGGCGCTGAGGGCTCCGGGTTAGAGCGGTTAGGGTTCGGGGATGTTAATGCAGCGGTTTTAGGGCTATGGTGTTAGGGGTACGGGTCTGGGGGCTAGTGTTTGAGGGCTAGGTTGTGGGCGGTAAGTAGGGTTACGGTGCGTAGGGTCAGGATGCGTGTGTTAGTTCGGGTATTAGTGTTGGGGTGAATAGGGTTGAGGTTAGTGCGGCAGGGTCAGGGTGTTCGGGTCAGGGTGCTTAGGGATGAAATGACGTTGTTAGGGTTAGGGTGTACAGGGTAGGGTGGCAGGTGTGTAGTGCGGATGTTTGGGTCAGGGTGTTGGGATTCGGATGATAGGGATTAGGGCTGTAAGGTGTTCTGGTTTGGGCTAGCGTGTGAGCGTTAGGGTGCAAGGGTTCGGGTGTTAGCGTCAGGCTGTTGGGTGCTTGGGGTGCTCGGTGTTGGAGCGAGGTGTTATGTGTTAGGATGTTCGGGTTGGGTGGCCAGGGTCATATTATTAGGTTGTTAGGGTAATGGCGTGTTGGGGGTACGATGTTATGGATGTGGTTACGGTGTCCATGTGAGGATCTGACGTGCAGGGTGTAAGGTGAGGGTGTTTATGACCAGGGGTAGAGCTCTCGTGCGTTAGAGATTTCGGGTCAGGGGGCACGGGTTAGGTTTCGGGTGTTTGAGGGTAATGTGCTAGTGTGTTTGGGTAAGTGCAGTGGGTTTGGTGTGTTAGGGTGTAAAAGTTTAGTGTGTCCGTTTCAGGGTTTTCGGTCAGGGTGTCAGTTCTAGAACGGTCAGGTGTTAGTGATCAGGGTGTGCAGGGTAGGGTGTTAGGGCTAGGGCCCAGGGTATTAGACTTGCGATGCTTAGGGGAAGAGGGAGGGGCCTCCCGAATAGGGGGAGGGGGGGGCCTCATCTGGACCCTGAAGCAGGATGCACGACGACGACAACGACGACGACGGCGAGTCCGAGGCAGAGGGCTTGCCTGCAACCGCGCCGCCAGGGCCGCGGCTGCGGGGAGTTCGCCCCCGACTGCCAGAACGCCACCCCGCCGGAGTGGTCGGAGGAGCCTCGGGCGGGTCCTGATGGGGAGTCACGTCTAAAGGGGGGTGAAGACAAATGCCTTCAAGGGCCCTCCCTGCGATGATTTCTTGCACCACGGACGTGTTGGGCCTGGTTTTCGGGCCCAGGGGCCCTCACAGATGGAGCCGGCTGGAGAGATGACGCAGGAAGGCCGCGTCCAGGGCTCGGGTCGTGGAGTTTCGCGCGGCTCCAGTTTGGTTCGCAACGTCAGTCCTGAGGGGAGGGGCGGCGCTGGGTGATGGCTGGGGGCGGCGCCCAGCGACTGCTGGGGCGCGAGCGTGGAGGAGGAAAGGATACCGATACTGCTACCATTCCATCGTTCATCATCCTCGGAGCCATCCCCACCCCCACTGGGGCAGTGTGAGTTGGCTCTTCCAGCGTCCCCCCTCTAGGTGGGGATGGGTGCTCCGAAGCCCGAAGGAGACGGCACTCATCCCCACCTCAGGGGGGGAGATTGCCCAGCGGGGCCAAGGTTTCCCCAGAGGGGGTGGGGATTGTCTTCCTCGCCCAGAATCGTTGCCACGGCTGGACTCGCCCCAGGGGGGGTGGGGCTTGTGCTCATCGTCCAGAACCGTTGCCACGGCTGGCCTCGCCCCGGAGGCCAGGGCCAGAACGCAGCCCCCGGAGAGGTCGAGGGAGCCGCGGCACGGGTACCTTCCTGCCTTCCCCCGAGCCTCCCCTCCGACGCGGGGAACCTACAGCGGCGGGAGGTGCTCGCCCGTCGGCGGCCACTCACGGAGGCCCTCCTCGGGCCCGGGGGCCGTCAGACCACCGCTTCCGGGTGGGAGGCCAATCCCAGGGGGGAGGGCCCTGACCCCCAAGGTGTGCACGCTCTGAGGAGGCCCCGACGTCGGACGTCCGGGGCAGCGGGCGGTGTTCGGCGGCTGCTGGGGTGGCGCTTGGCGGTGGCTGGCTGGGGGCGGCCGGGGCGGCGCGCTGGCGATGCGCGGGGTGGTGTGTTGGCGTCGAGTGGGGCGCAGTCGGGCGGTCGCCCATTGATCGCCGATCGGGGCCTGGGTGCCTCGCCCCAGCCAGGAGCGTGTCGTTGCGCCTGCGATCTGGAGGTGTACGGTCGATTCCAGGTCAATGTCTGCTTTCCCCCCCCCCTCGGGGCCAGTAGTCCCCCGCCTCTCGCATCCCCTCAGCAGAAGAAGGATGTATGACTTGGGAGTGTCGAGGTGGGGGGGATGTCAGGATCGAGGTTCGAGTTCTCAGGAGCAGCCGGGGAGGAGTTAGGCGGGAAGGGTCAGGATGACCGAGTTTCGAGGATCCATGTCTGTCAGCATCTGTGAAATTCCGCGTGCCGTCCCTGATCCTGACCCTTGGAGGTCCCTGGAGGCTTCTGGATATACGGAACACCTCAAGCAGTAACTATTTCGAAAACATGCGACAGCCTCCCTCCTCCACCCACGAGCGTCGAGGGCAATCTTCAGCATTCAGCACTGTCTGTCATTCTGGATGAATTTGCCCCTTGTGTGGACCTCTTGATGCCTCCAGGTACCTCTGGGTGAGCCCTTCTCGCCAGGGCCAGGTTCGTCTTGAAATGTTCGTCAGAACGCGATCGAGGACATGCTTGTGGGGCGCTTTTAAGACGCTTCCGACGGGGTCCTTCACATCCGGGCGTGGTCAACAACCATCGCGAATAGCGTTTTCGTCGATTCGAGCGGGTCCCAGAACCGTCGGGTCGGCCCTGTGGGGGATGCTGGCAATAGAAAGGAAGAGACCACAGTACAAGCAAATACGGTTGATAATAACGTGTGTTCGCTGTGTGTATGTCAGTCTGTCTGTCAGTCTGCCTGCCTGTCTGTCTGTCTGTCTGTCTGTCTGTCTGTATGCATGCATGCATGCATGCATGCATGTATGTATCTATTTGTGTGTGCGTGTGTGCGTGCGTGCGTGCGTGTGTGTGTGTGTGTGTGTGTGTGTGTGTGTGTGTGCGTGCGTGCGTGCGTGCGTGCGTGCGTGCGTGCGTGCGTGCGTGCGCGTGCGTGCGTGCGTGCGTGCGTTCGTGCGTGCGTGCGTGTGTGTGTGTGTGTGTGTGTTTGTGTGTGTGTGTGTGTTTGTGTGTGTGTGTGTCTGTGTGTCTTTCTGTGTGTGTGAACGCATCCCCGTTAAGGAGAAGCGCTCCTGGTGTTGCCGCGGCCTTAGCCGCGTCGCTCCCAGCCCCGCAGCTCTCTCGAATGTTTCGTTGCTTATGTCGCATTCTTCCGCATGTGCGCAGGTCGTTCGGGCTTTCGCGATGTGGTTATCCACCGGTTGTGGCCGAATTGGGGATACAATTCGTAAACACAATTTGTCGGAGCTCTACGCAGATTTCTTGGATCTGCGCTGCGCCCCTAGGGCGCCCCGCACGCAAGGGAGGGGGTCCAGTGCCGATCCAAGAAATCCCCTTGGCCTTCGAGATTTAGGTTTCTGTAGCTGTTCTTTTTCCGATCCAGGGGACACCGAGGTCACCACGAAAGGCGAGGGTGCAATGCGACATCGACGACCACAGGACATCCTACAGGGGCGTCGACAACTGCGGCGTCGCCGCTGTTCGACTGCAACGACGGCGCTGCAGAGTCGTGGACAGTCAAGAAGCACAGCTGGTGTTGCGAGAATCTAGACATTGAGTGCAACACGTCCCCCCAGAGACCATTCGACTGCAGAGTGGGGTATGCCAATTGGGAGAGCGCTTGGTCTGCGCGGATGAAGCGGTGGTGTTGCGAGCACGAGTCTCGCGGATGCCTTAGCACACCTGTTGAGGACACCCCTGCAAGTTTCAATGCCACCGTCATGATCACTGCGTCTGTCAATACCACAACGAGCAGCGCCACCGCCACGACGGGCACTCACACCGCCACCTTCGCGCCTACCACTGCCACTACCACAAGTGAAAGCAATACCAGCACCACTACCACCGTCACCACAATTACCACCTTTGTTGCCTCAGCCATTGCCACAACCACCATTCTTTTTGCCACTACAATTCCTTCCACTGCCGCGACCACTGCCTTCACACGCGCCAATGCAACATACGACTGCGAGGCTGACCGCGACAACCAGGATGGTACGTGGTCCGCCTCGAAGAAAGAGTGGTGCTCGCGATGGGGGCACTCAATTACGCCCTTCGATTGCACCGCAGGGCTTTTGAATTGGAATGCCAGCTGGTCCAAAGAAAAGAAGGGGTGGTGCTGCGCGCACGAGAACCGAGGATGTCCAAGCCCAGGGTCGCCCTCCTCGCAGCAGTTATTCGATTGCAGCAAGGACATCTCGCACTGGAGTTCCAGCTGGCCGTTCGTGAAGAAGGTGTGGTGCTGCGTCAACCAGAGACTTGGATGCCCCTCAAACATCGATGTATCGGCCACAACACCAGTACCATCTGCACCGGCCGCCTTACCCGCCCACGTAGCCGTCCAGAGACCCTCAGCACCTGTCGCAGTTGATACTTCGTCTGTGTACCCTAAACCTTTTGACTGCGATCTCCATTACGACAACTGGCAGGAGGCCTGGACAGTGGGCCAGCAGATCTGGTGCTGCCTCGATCAGAACCGCGGCTGCTCAGAACAGCGGTCATCGGTGAGAGCGACGACCTCTTTAGTAGAGGTCTCTTCAGCGACATCTACGACAAGCAGCGAGTACAATTGCCAGGCTGGCCTGGATTTGTGGGAGGAGCACTGGACGGGGCTCCAGAAAGAGTGGTGCTGCCAGAGTGCGGGGCTCGGCTGTGAGGATGCGCCGTACGACTGCGAGGTGGGACAGGCGCGGTGGGAAGAGACATGGACGCGTCCCAAGATAGAGTGGTGCTGCAGGCATGTGGGCGTCACCTGCGTCTCCTCGAGGCCGAGCGGGGAGCCCCTGGATTGTCGCATGGGGAGCAGTTCCGAGCAGGCCCAGTGGAGCTCCGAGAAGAGCCAGTTCTGCTGCCAGTCGGAGGGGCTCGGCTGCTCGAACTTGCAAGCGGCGGAGAGGCTGTTCGGCACCACCCAGGGCCCCATGCAGTCCGATAGCGTGCCCGAGCGGCTCGGCCTCTGTTCGATGGTCCCGCTGGCGATGCTGGTGGCGCACGCTGGCCTCGCGCTGCGGCGCCGCATGGCGAGGCCGCGGGCGGGCTACGCCGAGATGCTCGCCGACCCCGCGCTCGCGAGGGGGCTGCAGGCGTGAGGCGGTTGCCACAGGCGCACGACCCCGCGTGAAGCCTGCGGCGGGCTCGCGTCGCGTCGACTCGGCAGCGACCGCAGCTCGGGGGTTCAAGGTTGAACGCCGCCAGCGGCTCGGAGTCGATATCGGACGATGTGTGCAAGCGGAAGGCCGCGATCGTCCAAGGCTGAGCGATGCACGCGCTGTCAGAGGCGAACGCGCAAGTCGCCTCGACGTGAGTCTGCCGTACCCCTGTGGGTCGAACCGATGTTGGGGCATCGTGCACCCCGTGGGGGGTTCACTTGTCTGCGGACTGTCTTGAAATTCTGTTTCCCCGCAGATGCTCCAGACGTCTGGCCTGCAGGGGTTCACATGTGGCTGCCCAGTGGGGCTGTCCGCGATCCAATTCGAACTAGGACCCTCGGTTCTCGCCCCTGGCACCTGCAAGTTAGAATTCGATCGTGCACGCCTCAGGTCCCACCCGACCTGGGTCGTGAGTGTGACAGTAGCTCCCATGCCGCGAGAGAGAGGAACGCCCCTTGGCGCAGGACGCGCCTGGACGCCCTCCGATCTCGTAGGAGGAGCGTCGTCCAGGTGCGCTGCTGCTCGAGATCTGCCAGGAGTCGGGTGCCCCCCGCTCGAGACCTGGCGGGACCCGACCTCCCGCGTCGTGTACTCTTTTCCTCTTCACTGCGTGGGCCTGGGAGTTCTCGACCCCTTTCCTGGGACTTGCTCTTCGCGTCTCTCATCGTCTTCCGATGGCAAATGGCCCAGGCGGACGAACGCGGCCTCCGAGGAGACCAACATTGTCCCGCCGACAAGTCGTCCGTCGCGACTTCCTCACAACGACGGGAGACTTGGTGCCGTATTGGGCCCGGTTGGCGGCGCTCGCCCAGAGATGTTGCGGACGAGGCGGCTTTCTGGGAAGGCGGCTGGCTTCCTCATGCCCTGTGACCAATCCAGAGTCCATCGCCCCCTCCCCCCTCCCGGGGACAACTCAGCCTCCCAAGCGCAATGTACTCCTTTCTTCAACTCCCCTTGTATTTTGAGGCTGGCGCGGGCTCCCGCAGACGAGCAGGCCAGACCGCTGCGCAGTGTGCCAGCATACTGAAGACGTCTACAACAGATCACCACCGCCACCTGCCTTTTGGAATGGCCCATATGGCTGAGCGTTGTGGCAAGAGCTCTACCAAGCTATCGGATCATGTGTTCCCCCAGCCGGTGTGGAAACCCTTCGGGGAACACTTGGGGGAGGGATGGCGGGGAAGATAAGGAGGAGGAGAAGGTTGAGGAGAAGGAGGAGGAGGAGGGGGCACCTTGGGGGCACTTTGGGGGCCTCCTGGGTGCTTCCTGGGGGCCTCTTGGAGGCATCTTGAGGGCCTCCCTGGGCATGTTGGACGCCTTTGGAGGCTTCTCGAGGGGGTCTTTGGCCATCTTGGGGCGTTCCTGGCCCGTCTGACGCCATCGGAAGCCGTCTTGGCAGCCTCTCTGGGTCGACCTGGGGCCCTCTTGGAGTGCTCCAGGGCCGTCTTGGAGGCCATCTTGGGCGTCCTGGATGCCTCTTGGACAGTCTTGGAGCCCTCTTGGGGCCGTCTTGGGGGCCTCTTTGGCCGTTCTGGGGCCATCTTGGAGGCCTCTTGGGCGATCTTGGGGCGATCTTTCAGGGCTTGTGGGCCGCCTCGGGCAGTCGGAAGGACGAACAGAATTACATGCCAACATCTTTCGAAATCCGTCGGAGAATCCATGATGTTGGCCATCTTGGGCCAGCTTAGAGCCATCGTGGGCCGCCTTGGTGGCCGCCTGGCCCGTCTGACGCCCTCGGAAGCCGTCTTGGGAGCCTCTCTGGGCCGACTTGGGGTCCTCTGAGGATGCTCCAGGGCCGTCTTGGAGGCCATCTTGGGTGTCTTGGAGGCCTCTTGGGCCGCCTGGGGGCCATTTGGCGCGTCTTGGAGCGATCGTTCGGCGACTCGGGGCCCTCCTGGACCGTCTTGGGGGCTCCTTGGGGCCCCCTTGGCACGTCTCAGGGCCTTCCTGGGCCCCGGAACAAGTTCGCGCGACGGTGCCTCCCGGAGCCCAGGGGGGCACGCGCCAAGCCCTGGTGGACCCTTGAGAGCGAGGGATCCGGGTCCTCGAGAGAACCCACGCTGGCGGGCTTACGGGCGGACCCTAAGTGGCGGACTGGGCGGACCCAAACAGGCGGGTGGGCCCGGTCGGGCGGGCGCACATTCACGAGGGCGACGACGAGGGCGCAAGATGCTTCCAAGACGGCTCAAGATACACCCAAGACGGCGTAGGATGGACTCAGAGGAGCAGGCAGAGGGCCGAAGGACACGCCCACTCCGTGTCCAGCGGCACGGTGGCGGGCAGAGGGAGCGGGGCGTCAACAAGCATCGCCGCGCATAAAGCCCGCTGGTCGTGAACGCCGCGCTGGTTGTCAGCACCCACGCGCGCGGGAGCTCATCAGGACCTGCGGGGCTCGCGCGCACCAGGTGGCCTGTCCAGCATCGGCGTGGTAGTAGCGCAGGGCTCGCGCACGGACACCATCGCGCAGATCAGCACCAGTACAGTCGAGCAACTGATTCAGATACATCTTCCCGAAATGCTGGTCCAGCGTTTCTCAACCAAGTTGCCAGAAAGCTGGCCCAGTTTCTTGAGCGCGTTGGCCCTTCCAGCGTTGACACGAAGACCTGGCCAAGGTTTGTCGTAAGACATGTCTTGGAAGCTGGCCCAGGTTTCTTAATTCATAATTTTCTTAATCGTAGTTTCTTGTGCACGCCCCTTACTGCACCCCACTCTCGATTACCACAGCACACCCCTGGCCAGCGCACCCGATGCGTGTCTTCCTCCCTCACCCGGCGCTCCACGGCGCAGGATCACAGGACCAGGAGCCCGCCTGCATCCCGTGAGGACTCGGTGTGGCCCCTCAGTAGCCCCTCCAGGTAAGCCCAAGAGGCTTGGCATCGCTCGGGCGTGTGCATCTTCTCTTTCGGAGGACCCTCGAGGAGCACGGAGGACCATCTTGCGAAAAAACGCACGCACGAAGCCGGAACATGCACCGGGAGTGGACGTCCAAGCGATGGCCAGGGCGCCCCCCCCCCCACCCACCCACCTTGCCTCCTCAGAAGGTCGGCGCCCTCGCTGTGCGCCCCCAGCTGCGCGCCGCCCGGCCCCGATCTCGCCCGTGAAATTTCAGCGTCGCGCAATGGGGGGTGATGCAGGGGGGGGGGGGGATACATGGGGGGGGGGCAGCGAGGGCTGCCGAAAAGGAGCCCTTTTGCTCCTAGAGGGGCGGGCCCCGAAGAGCCCCAAAGGATGCCGTTGGGGCCCGAGAAGTGCACTCTTCTCCCCCCCTCCCTATTGACAGTCAACCCGCACAGGAAGGGTGAGCGACCTTCAAAAGATCCCCTTCGCACCCTTGCCCGTGCGGCCCATCCCGACATGGCTTCCCAAGGCCCTCGCATCCCTACCGCGCATCCTGACTGTGCCGCCCGCGGCCACGGGGGCGGGGTCCCTCGAAGAGGCCCCTCCCGCCCGGCCCCGCCACTGGGCACGGGAGAGCGCCAAAGGGGCGGCTCTCCCGGATGCTCGTTTTTTTTGTTGGTCTGTTGTCCGGCGCGGTGGCGGCAGCCTGGTGCCCGTCTGGGGCGTCTCGCCGGGGGGGGGAGGCGGGCCCCGAGGGGAACGGGTCCCGAGGTGCTTCGCCGTGTTGGGCCTCCATGGGCCCTCCACGGGCCCCGGGATCGTCAGACAGCGACTCGGGATGAAGAGCTCCTCCTGGGGAATGCCCCGGGGTGCAGGCCCATTTCCCTCGGGACCCGTTTCCTCCGTTCGAAGACGTCGGCGGGGGGAAGGGGGAGCGGATGGTCGAGGCAAAGGAGGGGAGGGGCAGCGGAAAGGAGGGGCGATACGAGGAGAGAGGAGGGGGAGCAGCATCAGGAGAGAGGGAGGAGGACAGAAAATCAGTAGAGGAGGGAAGAAAAAGGACAGAGGAGGATGAGGATGGAGGACAGGGGAGGTAATGGAGGAGTCGGGGGAGGAGGAGGAGAGGAAGAGCACGACAACAACAACCGAGGAGGGGTATACAGGTATACAGAGAGAGAGAGAGAGAGAGAGACGGAGCAGGGGCGAGGAAGGACGGAGAACCCCCCTGCCCTTGAGGTCCCCTCGGTGTGAGAAAAGGGGGCAGTAGCATACCCTAAGCCTCGATCATCGATGTCCCTTGGGATGGAGGCTGGAGGGTGGATTATGGAGGTGGGGGCCTACCATCGGGCGGTGCTAGGACTGGGATAGGTCGTTCCAGAGCGTTCTGGGACGTTCTCCGTGAGTTCCAGAACGCTCTTAGAAGGCCGCGGCGCCCGATGCGTTCTCAAGAACCGTCGGATCTCGGAGGTTCCCGATGTGTCCTGGTCCGATTTTGCCCCTGTCCTGGCTCCGTCTTCTGCCAGGGGCCCGAAGGAGGGCCAGCATCGCGCGACTGCCTCGATGGTCGATGCCCCCGGGTGCTGGGGGGGCCGGATTACGGGGATGGCGGGGGGGCTTGCGCGGGGGAGAGGAGCTTTTGCAGGAGTGCAGAGAGAGAGAGAGAGAGAGAGAGAGAGCGAGGAGGCACACCGACGAGGGGGGGCACACCGAGGAGGGGCAGGAGGACCGATGGGGAGGAGGGGGAGGAGGAGGACGAGGAGGACGAGGAGGAAGGAGGAGTAAGGAGCAGGAGGAAGAGCAGGAGGAGGAGGAGGAGGAAGGGGAGGGGAGGGTGAACACCGAGGAGATGGGGGAGGGACGCGGAGGCGGAGGAGAAGGAGAGAGGATGGAGCATCGAGAATCGAGGTTCGATTACCTAGGCTTTTGATGTTTCTGGATCGTTTGGGGCCGCAGGGCAGTTCTCGTCGCCGCGGCTGGATCCATTTCTCGCCGAATGTTGTTGGTCATATTCTGCAAGAGGGGGCCGTTTCCATCCGCCCGTGTGAAGGGCCAGCCAGCCGTTGGAGAGGCTTGGGGGCCAGCGATTTGACAAGATCGAGTCG